ACTACAATTTAAATTTTAGAGGCCAAATAGTATATCACCTTAACGTGCAATGATGCCTTTTCCTTGTTTTGGTGACAAGTCCCTTTAACAACAGAGAATAGTATAACACAATTCCAGGCTGGGAAGAGAAATACCATGGAAACAGTCTCCTATTCAAGACAAAAATCCCTGCTTTCTCAGCTTCCTAATCATGCAGGAAATCTAAATATAGATATTTTGTAAATACCCTGAGAGGAAATTCAAAGACATATTTGTAGCAAACAAAAGAAATAAATCATCAGAGTTACTGTACTGAACACAATAGTATCACCCAGAAAAAAAACAAAAAAAACATTAAACTGATTACCCAATGATGAGCACAGCTTCTTTTTAATTCAATTTGCTCTCATATTCATCTTTATCATGGATATTAAGTGACACCATTTAGGTAGACCATGATGACATGTAGCCCAAACCTTTGTGTAGTTGATGATTTGTGATGCAGTACACTAGAATTTACTATCAATAAAATGTTACAACCCATCCAAAAGAACACAACATTTTCCTAATTCATGCTACTTAGCCACTTGCCTACTTTATTATTATTATTATACAGTATTTATAAAGCGCCAACAGTTGGCTCAGCGCTGTACATTACAATGGGAGACAGAACATGCGACAGTACGATAACAATAAAAACAATAAATAATTATCCGCGCTCTAACATTACCTTGCCAATGCTATATATTGTATATTACCATTAATTCATATATGCTGTGATGCTATCATCTTATCAGCTTTTTACCTGGATTACCTAAATTAATCTTATTATATTATCCTAGTGCTTAATAAAGCTTAAAAATAAAAAATATGTAATTAAATCAAATTATGATATTTACTGTATTTTTCGCCGTATAAGACGCACCTGACCATAAGACGCACCTAGGTTTTAGAGGCAGAAAACAGGAAAAAAAAAATTCTGAACTAATGGACTGCAGACACAGTACAGGAGATGACCAGAGACTGCGGACAGCACAGTGATGACCAGAGACTGCGGACAGCACAGGGATGACCAGAGACTGCGGACAGCACAGGGATGACCAGAGACTGCGGACAGCACAGGGATGACCAGAGACTGCGGACAGCACAGGGATGACCAGAGACTGCGGACAGCACAGGGATGACCAGAGACTGCGGACAGCACAGGGATGACCAGAGAGACTCTGGACAGCACACCCCCCCCCCCCCCCCCCCCCCCCCCCCGGGATGACCAGAGACTGCGGACAGCACAGGGATGACCAGAGACTGCGGACAGCACAGGGATGACCAGAGACTGCGGACAGCACAGGGATGACCAGAGACTGCGGACAGCACAGGGATGACCAGAGACTGCGGACTGTACAGATGACTGCTGACCTTTGGGGAGGTGGGGAGCGGGTACCTGAATTTGACAGGTACCCGCTCTTACTTCCGCAGAGTTTTTTGTTTGATCTTACCTGTTCCTCGATCCAGCCGTGCCCTGTCTTCCCGACTTCTGTAATGGCGCTCGGCATGACAGCCGGGTGCCCAGTGCGCATGAGCGAGAAGCACTTGCGCTTTGTGATTGGTCCAGCGGCTTCTGGGATCTGTCATGTGTCCCAGGTACCGCCTTACCATTCACAAAAAGCACCGCTTCTTGCGCATGCGCACTTGGCACCCGGCTGTCATGCTCAGTGCCCACACTACAGAAGCCGGGAAGACAGCACGCCGCTGGATAGAGGAACAGGTAAGGTCCCGCTGCAGAGCTGAGCGGCCGGCCCGGTATTCTGACACGGCCGCGGTGGAAATACCGGACCGGCCGCTCCATATTCGCTGCATAAGACGCACTGACATTTCCCCCCCAGTTTTGGGGAAGAAAAAGTGCGTCTTATACGGCGAAAAATACGGTATACACTGTGATTATTTCATTAAAAATAAATAAATGAATTAATAAAATTCACTGTGCCAGTGTAAAAATAAACTAAATATAAATATATAAAAATAATGAAAAAAATTGTGTAAATTCATATAATCCAATGTGTAAATGATGCAAAACAAACAATAAATTGTATATATATTAGTGAGATATAAATGAATAAAAATAATAAAGATAATTAAAAAACATATCAATTCATAAAGTTCAGCAGCAAAAATGTGCAAAAAAAGAAAAAATGTGCAAAAAGGTTTTTAGGATTCAGCAGGAAGAAGATATTGGTGATATACTCTCCTTTTCAAGTTGCTTATATTGATGCAGATGCCAAAAAAACAAACCACACACCACCACCCCACAACACCACAGAAACCTACGGACTATCTTCTGAGTCTATGTAGATGTGAGGTTTTTCTCCCTCCTAGGGCCTCTCCTCACTTCAATGCTCAATATCTCCTCATATGACTCATAGAAGAAAGAAGATAAAAAGATATGGTGCCTTATCCAAGGTATAACAAACACTGTTTAATGTGCTCCCATTATGCACTCACATTGTATTAATAAACAACACGCATATAGAAATAAAACCGCGAGCTGTGGTGATGCTCAGCCTCTCAGAAGTGTGATCACATCTGTCAGTACTCGCCGTAATGTCAGTCCGGTACGTGGTGACGTCACTGCCCCTCCCCAACGCGTTGCGCCACAGGGAAAAACGTAGCTTCGTCTGGGGGATGTAGTAGCAATGTGATACACGAGGGGTTCGAGGGCCCTGCTCTTTCGAGCTTACAATCTAGGAGGGAGCCTACTTTACTTTTACCCCCTTCCTGCCCAGGCCAATTTTCAGCTTTCAGCGCTGTCGCACTTTGAATGACAATTGTGCGGTCATGCAACACTGTACCCATATGAAATTGTTATCATTATTTTTCACACAAATAGAGCTTTCTTTTGGTGGTATTTAGGTGTCCTTTTATGAAACAGAGATTAGCGGCAATCCTAAGGATCGTTGCTGATCTCTGATCATTAGTGGTTTAGGAAACAGAGATGATCATCTCAGCACAGACTGCCAGTGAATGAAGGAGCGATGTCAGCCCTTCACTGGCGATCTGTGTTCTCCCTCCAGATTCTCCAACCCAGAGGTGGGGAATCGGGGGAACCGCAAATGAAGCAGAGGTAATTTACCGCTGCTTAGTAAACTGTGTTTGACTGATCTCTTACTGTGATCTCGCGAGATTGCAGTAAAAGCAGAAGTTTTCTAGTGTTCAAAGCATTTGTAGATTGCTTCTCTCTACATTCGGAGAACTGATCTACACCGCTTCACAAAAAGGCATTCAGAGGAGAACTCTCTCCTTTGAGAATGCAGAAGAACTGAGCAGTGGTCATTTACCGCTGCATGATAAAAGGACACCTAAATCACCACTGGAGTTTTTATTTTTTGCACTATAAACAAAAAAAAGAGCAACACATTTGAAAAAAAAAGTTGTTCTTTGTTTCTATTGTAAAATTTTGCAAACTGGTAAACGGCATTGATGAGGCTGTACTGATAAGTAGCACTGATAGGCACTGATAGGCAGCGCTGATGGACACTGCTGAGGCAGCACTGATATACAGCACTAATGGGCACTGAAAGGCAGCAATGATGAGTACTGATAGACGGCATTGATGGGCACTGACAGGCGGCACTAATGGGCACTGACTGAGGAAAGAACAAATAGACCGGGGGAATCCAAATATACTGAATGAGGAAAGAACAAAGAGAGGGCGCACAGGCCTAGTGCAATACCATAAAAAATGTTTAATAAGAAATAAAATAGGTGTTGTACTCACAAACGACAATAAAGTCAAGGCACATCATAAAAGAACAGCTGGGTCAAACACCGCGCTGAGTAACAGTCCGTAATGGGGAATGTAGACATCCAATAGGCTGACGCATTTCGAGGACTTGCCTCTTCCTCAGAGACACATATTTCTTATTAAACATTTTTTATGGTAATGCACTACGCCTGTGCGCCCTCTCTTTGTTCTTTCCTCATTCAGTATATTTGGATTCCCCCGGTCTATTTGAGGGCAGCAAGGTGTGCATGTTCCAGGACATTCTTAATGTGGTTGCAGCCTGCATCAAGTCCATCCCCAAGCGCAGGAGCATTTGTGTTTGCCTGTTCAATGGGCACTGACTGGCAGAACTGACTGGCGGCACTGACTGACAGCACTTACTGGCGGCACTGATGGGTGGCACTGATGTGTGGTACTTCTGGGCATCACTGATGGGTGGCACTGACTCAGGGTACTGATGGGCGCCACTGCTGGGCACTTTTGAGGCTGCACTGATAATACTGTTATCGACAGTACTTTCCTCACGGTGTGACCGCGTGAGGAAAGTGCAGCCGATGACCATCAACTGTATTTACTTTGTGATCAGCTATGTCATTGGACACAGCTGATCTTGTGGTAAAAGGTTGCTTTTACCTTGTCATGTGATTTTTTGTGTTTCTGTATTTGTTGTATTGCAATGCGATGCCAAACGTCAGCTGTATTGAGAGGAGAGAGATCTGCAATGGCAGAATTCCTTTTTGCAGAATTTCAGAGAGAGAGAGCGAGAGAGAAAAACACAACTGTATGAAAATCGCATTGCTATCCCAGCTAAAGCACATCTTTTCCAACAGGTTTTTATTCAAATTTTCAAAAAGACATAAGACAATGATACATTAGTTTACCAGCACATGTCAAATAAACAAGTGAAGGGAGGAGGAGTAAGAGAGGTAATGGGTTCACCCTCCAATATATTCAGACCATATCTAATGTATACTAATAAATCCAACTATAAATTCCATTCTAACAGTCTGGTCCTGCAGAGAGAGGAACAGCGCGCTCAGAGTATGAGACTCCACCAGTGAGAACATAATGCATGAGTGTAACAGAAGAATGCAGGTCAAGCATCATCTCAGTCTCAAACTAGGGTGTGCTAAATCACATCTTAATCACAACGGTGGTGTTCCTTGATTTGCACTGGAAACTGAAGAAACTCACACAGGGGCGGACTGACAACTCATGGGCCCCCCGGGCAATAGGGGATAATGGGGCCCCTGTGTCCTTGCCCAAACTCAAAAAAGCCTATGAAAAAGGTACCAGGGGCATCTCATGGGGCCCCCTACTGATGGCAGTGCCCGAGTTTCCAAATGGTCAGTCCACCCCTGAACTCGCATCACTTCAGTGTGAACCTAGCCTTAGGCTGTTTTCACATGGGTAGTCAAGGGATGGTGAAAACAGATGGTGGATCTGCCAGTGGACACAGTGCTGCTCAGATAGGTACATATTGCCACACTTGTGATGCTTTGCATTGGGGTGCTGCAATTTCAAAATACTGTACATGCTGAGTTTGACAGGTGGCACCAACTGTCAAACTCTTTCATGTACGTGACTGGGGCTGTGCTGCTAGCGCAAGCCAAACGTTTGACTTCCAGTTCTGGCGTGGTCCTGCAATACAAAACTGTTGTTTGGTAATAAAAAATTTTTTTAAAAACCCCACAGCTTTACCACCTGAATACCTACAAGCCTAGTTTCACCTTTCTTTGAAAAGAGATCCACTGCAGGGGGGAATAGACACTTTGGGCAACCCATCTTGAGATTGTACTTGAGAAATTTTGAGACTTAGAATATCCAATTTTGTTTACATTTAAAAATCAGTATTTTTTGATAGAAAATTTCTTAGAATCCCCAAATATTATATATTTGTTAAAACAGAGGCCCTAAAGAATAAATTGGTGGGTGTTGCAATTTTTATATGTCATGTGGTATTTGTGCAGGGGTTTTTCAAACACACTTTTTTGGAGAAAACACACTTTTTGAATTGTACAAAAGCACAATATAATTCCCAATTGTTTGGTAAAATGTAAAAGATGATGTTACACCAAGTAAATAGATACCAGACTTGCCATGCTTTTGTCGCTGTTGGTACCGGCAACAAAAGACATACATTTTACTATCCAAAGGTTTAAAAAACTTTCAAAGGGTTAAAAAACTTTCAAAACCTTTACAGGTTACCACTTTACATTTACACACGAAGTCTGATGCTAGAATTACTGCCCTCAATCCAGGGGCGGACTGACAACTCATGGGGCCCCCGGGCAATAGGGGATCATGGGGCCCCTGTGTCCTTGCCCAAACTCAAAAAAGCCTATGAAAAAGGTACCAGGGGCATCTCATGGGGCCCCCTACTGACCCCGGGCCCTCAGGCATTGCCCGAGTTTCCAAATGGTCAGTCCGCCCCTGCCTCAATCTGATGTTCATGGTGATACTTCATATGTGTGGGACGATCACTGTTTGCACGTGTGCTGGACCGATGCGTATATTTTCTCTTTGTGCACAAGCATGGGGGGACAGGGGTGCTTTACATTTTTTTTTTATTGTTAGTTATACAACATTTATTGGGAATATAAATATCCCCTGTGATAGCAACAGTGACAGATAGACTCCCAGATATCTCCTCTGCTCTTAAAAGCATCTGATCACACCAAGATCGGTGTGATCAGATGCTTTCCCTATTTAAAAATGGAGCTGTTTACAATCAAAGAAACTAGAAGTGATGAATGCTCTTTGCTTCTGGTTTCCTTTACCATAGAGGTGATCAGAGTCCTTCCAGTTTCTGATTATCTCTATGGCTTGTCACTCGGGTTTCTGTTCCTTGCACAAACCCCCCCCCCCCCCCCATAGCAGTCCTTCACAGAAGACAGAGAAAACAAGTCAAAATGCCCGCAGCTCTACATGCAGCATTCATCGCTTCCCTCCAGCATGCTGCATTTTAGTTGCCAATACATTGGACACTAAAAAAAAAAAATTCATAAAGATATGTAATAAGAAGATTAAGTTGTATGATTCACCTTGTTGTGTTTTCTTTGTCTTTCTCAATTACAATACACTAAGGCATGCATTTACCAAAAATCAGAGAGCATTCCCTAAACATACAGCCTCATTGACTTAAAAGTATTTAGTGTGGATTTCTATTTTCTTATAACTCAGACATTACATTGGATTCAGTCCCTATGAATAAGAATATCACTTTACTAAATAAATACTACAAATAATTGGGGTCAGTTTAACCCCACCATGGTATCTTTACATGGTGATGTACAGAAGTAAAAGTGTTGCAAAGTCATTCATTCAAATGGCAACAAACTACACATACCCAGTTCATCACAACGCATGTGAGTTTAGCACACTACGACACCCTGATGTATCTGTGTGTTGAGGTACATTCCATTAAATAAATAGTGCAGGTAAAGTTATTTTGTGTGCTAAGGGTTATTGATTACCAATTGCCAAGTGGTTGTAATGTCTCAGTGAAGTGACTGGCCTCAGGTAATATACAGAGATTAAACAAATCATCCTACATACATTGTACCTGGTTATCTGCAGCCTTTTCTTCTCTACAGTCTTGTAAAACAGAATCTCTCAGCAGTACATAGCAGGGGGCATGGATCTGAATTCACACACTGCACTACTCAGGGGGTAGAACTCTTGAAATCTCCTAGATTGTAAACTCGAAAGAGTAGGGCCCTCTTACCCCTCGTACGTTGTTTGTTATTGTTGTAATGTGCCATGTATTGTCCCCCCTATATTGTACAGCGCTGAGCAAACCCTTTGGTGCTATATAAACTTGATGTAATAATAATAATAATAATAACCTGGTTGAAGGGAAGAGACACCCCCCCCCCCTCCTCACACTACACACAGAACATGCACAGCTGTGGCCGCCAACCACAGGCTGTGTGCTGGAGCTCTCCTACCCCACCACCTTTTTGCTCTCTTCCAGTGGCCCTTGGCTAACCATTCCTTAGTTCACACTCTTTATCAGGGTAATACTCAAGAATGTCCTAACATTTCTTGTTCTTCATAGGGTTATCATTTTGAAACCTTGGCCCACCTACCTGCTCAAAGTAGTGTCCTTTTTTATCTTAAAGTTCTTTCCTTTTTTATTCTGCTCTGGTCCACTTAAAGGGGATTGCTTTGATTTCCCTGGATGTGGTAAGGGTGTACCTGAATGCCACTATTCCTTTTGTCAATCATATTCCTTGTTCATTTATCTACGTGGTCCCTGTATGGGTGGCCTGGCTTCCAGTGTAACCATAACTAGATGGTTTTGTCCAACCAGGACTATCGCTTTAATCACTGGGAGACTCCCTTTCCCACCACTACCAGAGCAGTACGCTTCCTGGGGTTTCTGTTTCCCAAGCTGTTACCTGGTCTTTCACCAACACGCTCTGACAAAATTTTATAGGGTAGTTGTGACTCCATTGGACAATACTATCTTGGGCCACTTGGTCTTGCAGGCAGCTGTGTAACTGACCTCTCTTTTATGGGCTTTACTGTCTCAACCTTTGTGTTTTTTTTTGTTATTTCCACGTTATTAATATATTGTGTCACTCCATAAAAGGCAGAGAAAATTGGATTTTTGGACTAGCTGTGTAATCCTTCCTTTTTTTTGGTCTTCATTGAAGGACACAGCTCGATCTTCTCTTGGGTATACAGTTGCAAGAAAAAGTATGTGAACCCCTTGGGATTACATGGAGTTTTGCATGAATTGGGCATAAAATGTGCTCTGAGCGTCATCTAAATCACAACAATAGAAGAACACAGTCTGCTGAACATAATACTACACAAACATTAGATGTTGCCATTTTTTAATTGCACATAACATGTAAACATTCACAGTGCAGGGAGGAAAAAGTATGTGAGGCCCTAGCTTAATGACTTCTCCCAGAGCTAATTGGAGCCAGGAGTGAGCCAACCTTGACTCCAATCAGTGTGATGATATTGGATGTGTTGCTGACAGCTGTCCTGCCCTTAAAAAAACACACACCTGTTTTGGGTTTCCTGGTTTCAAGAAGCACTGTCTGATGTGAACCATGCCTTGCAGAAAAGAGCTCTCAGAAGACCTACGATGAAGAATTGTTGACTTGCATGAAGCTGGAAAGGGTTACAAAAGTATCTCCAAAAGCCTTGATGTTCATGTGCCCACGGTAAGACAGACTGTCTACAAATGGAGAAAGTTTAGCACTGTTGCTACTCTCCCTAGGCGTGATCGTCCTGTAAAAATGACTGCAAGAGCACACTGCAGAATGCTGCATGAGGTAAAGAAGAATCCCAGAGTGTCAGCTAAAGACCTACAGAAATCTCTGGCACATGCTAACATTTTTGTTGACACATCTACAATCAGGAAAACATTAAACAAGAATGGAGTACATGGGAGGACACCACGGAGGAAGCCATTGCTGCCCAAAAAGAAGATTGCAGCATGTTTGAAGTTTGCAAAAGAGCACCTGGATGTTCCACAGCACTACTGGCAAAATATACTGTGGACAGATGAAACCAAGATTGAGTTGTTTGGGAAGAACACACAACACTATGTGTGGAGAAAAAAAGGCACAGCACACCAACATCAAAACCTCATCCCCACTGTGAAACATGGCGGAGGGAGCATCATGGTTTGGGGCTGCTTTGCTGCCTCAGGGCCTGGATGGATTGTTGTCATTGATGGGAAAATGAATTCCAGAGTTTATCAAGACATTTTGCAGGAAAACGTACGACCATCTGTCCGCCAACTGAAGCTCCGCAGAGGATGAGTGATGCAACAGGACAATGACCCAAAGCATACAAGTCATTCAACAAAACAATGGCTGCAACAGCACAGAATACGCCTTCTGGAGTGGCCCAGTCAGAGTCCTGACCTCAACCCGATTGAAATGCTGTGGCATGACCTTAAGAGAGTGATTCACACCAGACATCCCAAGAATATTGCTACACTGAAACAGTTTTGTGAAGAGGAGTGGTCCAAAATGACTCCAGATCGTTGTGCAGGTCTGATCTGCAACTACAGGAAATGTTTGGTTGAGGTTATTGCTGCCAAAGGAGGTCAACCAGTTATTAAGTCCAAAGGTTCACATACTTTTTCCTCCCTGCACTGTGAATGTTTACATGTTATGTGCAATTAAACCATGGCAACATCTAATGTTTGTGTAGTATTATTATGTTCAGCAGACTGTGTTCTTCTATTGTTGTGACTTAGATGACGTTCAGAGCACATTTTATGCCCAATTCATGGAAAACTCCACGTAATCCCAAGGGGTTCACATACTTTTTCTTGCAACTGTACTTTCCTGGTTAACTTGTTGCCACATTTTTGCTTGGTAGTGTGTTATGTGAAGGATGTTCTCTCCTTTGTTTTTTTGTACCGCTTTATGATAATAAACCAAGTGAAGTCTGAGCTACTGAAACTATTGTGCCAAAAGATGGATAATAATTTACAAAATTCCTTTACTTACAGAACAGCTGCTCACAGAAAAATACCCACAAACAGATATCTATACAAATTATACACCATGCATTTGAAGAGCTGTCCCTTTACGTGCACAAGAAATAAATATTGATTGTACCAAAAGCCTTTGAAAATTGCAAATAATTAAACATTTGTGATATAATCATTACAAATTATATAAAAAATAAATAAATCATGTCCCATCACATTGTATTCGTTATGCATCACACTCCAAAGAAATGTATCTTCTTAAGAGCGGATTCACACATGTGCGGTGCAGATTGAAGCTCAGGTTTCACGGCTAATTGATACAGTAGTTGTTCACAGGTTCACGGCAGGTTTAAATCAGTTTCAGGACAAGATTAGCTCAGGATCGTATCCTGTTCACACATATGCAATTTAGAAACGGTTCACATAAAAGTTGATAGCCTGTAATCCGCATTTGAACTGGACCGCACTGCTCAGAAATGACTCTTTAAAACCGCACTGAGCCCGCAATGCCACTGAAAAAATGTGAACTGGCACCATAGAAAACAATGTTTTTTCACATGTCATGTGGATAGTGTCAGCACACCAAATGAAAAATTCTTCACTGCCACCAACAAATAGCCAAACTCCTTAGCATGTGGTCTGACCCCTTATTAATTGGGATCATATAGCGCTTTCAACCCACACGGGAAGCATACAGGAACCACAGGACACTTGCTTCAAAGCTCGCAGGACACTTCCTTCAGAGAGATTTGGCCAATATTAATCTCCATACATCATCAAATGAGGACCATGAAATCAGAAGGAAAAAACACACTGCACATAGTGAAACACTATTTAAAATCTCCAGTTTATTGTAAGCAAACATACTCACATAAGGCAGATGCCATTCGTGCACCGAGCGCTCATGCGCATAGCGTGTTGACGTCAGACCACATGCCCTGATTCCTGTTTTATTAAAAATAACATCTTCAGGGGGAAGTAGTTTGTATGGCCCCCACGTGCTTGTATGCATGCTTG